TCTGCTCTGCCCCTTTCCTCTTCAAAGCTGCTGCTGGTGGAAGTTGTTTTCCCTCACTCTGTGTTAAGCTTTCCCTGCTCAATTAAACCTTGGTGGAGTGGAGCTTTAAATCCCATTAAAGTGGTGTTGTGTTACAGCTGAGCCCTCGCTCCATTTAACAAATAATTAGAATAACATATTCCAGCCCTACAACCATCTCCTGCAAATGCCCTTGTTTGACCTTTTCAGCCCAAGCGTCAACGTTCAGAGCATTCCTGGAGAAATTCCCAGAGATTTTTGAGGGATGTGCCTTTTTCCTGGAGCTGAACCAGCTCTGGAGAAGGTTTTGGGTTTGCAGAGGCTCAGCAAAGCTGGTTCCAAAGCCCTGCCTGGTCACTGGTTGTTGTAGGATCCCCTGTCCTGGAGCACACCAGGACTGTCCTGTCTCTGCCATACCCTTATTAATTCCTCCTTACAGTGCCATGATGATTCTCTCACATGTGTTTGGTTCTGAGGGAGGGTGTCAGGCTTTAATTAATGTTTGTGTCACCCTGGTGTTAGCCTGGATTGCTCTAATTTACCTGCTGCTCGCTCACACTGTTTCACTGCTTTATTTATTAGCTTGATTTCTCCCCTTTTCTTTGTGCTCACTGTCAGGTTACTTTTCCAGCATTTTAGATAATAACAAAGTACTTAGAGCAGTGTTCATTTTTTTTCTGCTTAGCTCTACTGAACACAAAGGCACTTTTCTTCCGGTACTTAGGGGTACCTATTTTTGAAATTTGGTTCCAAGTCTTTCTAAATGTGCTTTGACAGTTTCTGAGCTGGCAGAAAATTGGATGCAGAGAGGTTCTGCAATGCAGAGCCCCCACGTGTTTTGGGAATTGCAACCCCAGGGAAGCTGGGCTGGGGGAGCACAGCGAGGATGAGCCTTTATTTCAAGCAAATAAATGAAAGAGTGGGAAAACAAAAGCATGGAAAATATTTTCACTGTAATTTCTCCGCTTGAAATACCTATTGCAAACTGCTTAGTGGCGGCAAAATAAAGTTTGAGGGGGATGTGTTTGGGTGGGGTTGTATTTATCAAAAGATCAGTGTTTAATGAAAATACATCTCTCCAGAACTGGCTTACCCCCATTATTCTGCAGCAGCATTTCCCCTGAATTTCCCCAGCCTCAGATTCTCCGTCCTGCTCAAGATTTACGAGATGTGTGGGGAGAGGAGTGCCAGAAGTTTTGTGTGAGTTCTAGAAGAGGTGCTGAGTGAGGAGATGGTTTCATTTTGCTGCAGGATGTGCTTCTTTGGGCAGGATTTAAATCTGGAATTTTCCGTGGCTGCCTGCAGCGTTGTCTGAGCTGGCTGGAGGCAGGGAAGTGCTGTGCTGTGGGAATTGTGGTGTTGCCATGAGCAGGGCTCCCTCATTTGGGCTCTTCTCAAGGGATGCTCTTGGATGGCTTCCCAGAGCCGTGGGAGTGTTTTGTGTCGTGCTCTGGTGTTATGAACACAGGCACAGGTGGCTGTTAAATATTCTGAAGTTAAGGGGGAGATTTGTGTTTTCATGTTGAGCAAACCATTTTCCACCCTTGTGAAAAAAATAATATTAATAACTGAGTTATAAAATAGTAGAAAAAAACAGCCTGGAGGAAGTTTTCTACCAACCCTCCACAGTGCCTTGAGGACCCTTAAATGACTGGGAAAGTTAAGCTCAATTTTTAAACCTGGAAATGGAATTCTTGGGTTTAGTTCAGAGTCAGGCCCAGCCCAGGTGTCGTCCTGGTCATTGCTCTCAGCTCAGAGAGCAGCAGGGCTGGTGAAAGGTGAGGTTTCGGGGCTGTGAAAAACACATTCACACTCCTGTGAAAATGTGAAAAGTTCAATAAAGGACAAAAAGTTTAATAATGGGAGACAAGTACCGTGGAGCAAAGGTTTTTGGGTCAGCCAAGAGCACCCTGTTATCTTTGGGGATATCCCTTAAATATCTTTTAATTACATCAGCCTCTTGCATATTCATAGCCCCTTATGCATAAGAAACTTTTCCCAAACTAGTTTCCATATTCCAAGAGCTGTTTAAGCATGGCTGCTCCTCAGTTCCACCTTTCTAGAGTATCAAGATTCCTTGGTTGTGGTTTTAGTCCTTTTTTATCACCACCTTTAGTTTGGGCCTGGCCATACTGCCTTCAGTCAGTGAGTGCTGATGTTGGCACATCTGTCCGGGTGTGCTCATCCTGTGTGCATTGGGTGTTATCCCATCCCAGCAGGCAGTTTAACACAAGCACACTGATATCAGCTATTGCACTGAGCTTAATTACCAGAAATAAACCCCATACTTTTATAACAAAGTTACTTTACCACCACACATATAGAATCCGTTTTAATATTTGCAAAAAGCCAATATTATAATCTGTATCTATAACAGGGTGTTGCCCCAGCAAAGCCCTGTGGAGCTGAGTGGTGCCACCATCCCCAAGAGCAGCATCCCCAGAGCTTCTCTGGGGCTCCAGCCCTGCCACCAGCTCCTTGGGCCTTGCTGGATCTGTCAGAAACAAAGCTTACTCTTCAAAATATTTAAAGGTTTATTAAGGGATAAAAGGAATAAATCCAGTGCTGGGGTGCTTGGCTATCTGCCAGAAGCGCACGGTTAGCAATTTCCATGTTGGGGTTCACTGTCCAATTCCAGCTCCAGGTGATGGAATCCCACCCTCCCGCTTTGTTGTCCTTGGTTCTAGGGCTGGACAAGGATTGTTCTGTGGGACTGGGCTGTGAGAGAACTGCTGACACTTTATGTGGAGTTCAGAGTCACACACCAATGCAGTGCAGAGCCTGGGAAATATGAAAGCTGAAACTTGAGTGGAAACAAAAGGCATTGCATGGGTGAGCAAGGGAGATGTGACATTGTGTGCCTGCAATGCTCCGGACGAGTCTGAAAGGGAATTTTCTGTGTTTCTGTGACTTCTGTGCCATCCTCTGCCTCATTAACCTCCTGCAGCAGAGAGTTTCTGTGCTGAAGTCGTATTTGCATGTTAATGAGCTGCAGTGGCACAGACACATTAATGTCTGAGTGTGCAGATGCATATTTTATTGTGGGATTTAACCATTCCCCTTCTGACTGTGCTCTGGGTTAAACCCAGCTAAGCCTCACCCAGCCTCCCCTCACCTCCCTCCACGCCATGCAGTGGGGAGGAGAATCAAAATTAAAACTTAGCTTGCAATAGGAACAAAATAATAATAATGGTAATAATAATAATGATAATAATAATGATGATAATTATAATGTTTACTTAATAATAATAAATAATAATATTAAGAAAAAAACAAGTGATGCACAAAAAATTGTTCAACGCCCACTGACCCATGGCAGATCCTGCCCTGAGTCCTGACCAGCCCCTTCCAGCTGCAAGCACCATATAAATACAGGAGCTTTAAGAGATTAATTTGTCCTGGAGCTTGGTTTGGTTTGGTTTTGTTGTTTGGTTTTGGTTTGGTTTTTTGTTTTGTTTCACTTTGGGTTTTTTCGTTTGGTTATTTGTTTGTTTGTGGTTTTTGTTGGTTGGTTGGTTTGGTTGTTTCTTTTTTTGTTGCTGGTTTTTTTGGTTTTTTTTTTTAGTGGTGGTTTTGGGTTTTCCCCCCAAAACATTTTTAACAGGAAAACATTCTCAGAAATGCCTGAGAATGCTTTCCAGGCATTCTCTGTCCTTTGATCTCATGCTGACCCAGCACAGCAATACCCCAGCAGTGGTTCAGAGCAGAGTGTTTTGAGCACAGCTGTGCAACTCAGGGGAGGGAAAAAATGCAATATAAAGTCAAGTGTTTTCCACTGTGAGGCAAAACCCCCCCATAATTTATATCAATACATTCCAATGAAATTGGGCACCCAGCTCTGTTAAAAATCAAACCTCGAAATTCAGAGACATGAAGATTTGAATTCATGCTGCTCTCCAAGCAGCTGCAGGTTTCATACCAGAGAAATTCAGCTAATTTCATGTCTGAATATAAATAATTAAAGCTGGGAGCCCTGTTGTACATATTAAATTATGGTCTCCTCTAAACGAGGCCGCAGTTCAATTTGTTCGCTGTGGTTTTTTTTCTTTTCCTCGTGCTGTGCAGCTCCCTCTGCACTTTGATGTGAGCAGGAAGCTGGGAAATGATTCATCTGCTGCGGCCCCATAATTAATTAATTAATATTTTGGTCAGTTCTGCAGCACTTTGCATTTCTGGAGCCAGCTGCTGAATTAATGTTTGCACAGCAGAGGAGGCAGGGAGTGACTCCTGGTGCTCCTCAAACACCACCCAGGCCTGGGCACCACTGGAGAAGGGTTTGCAAATCAGATCTGCCTTGCCTTAAAGCTATAA